TTTATTAAATTTTACAAGTAAAATTTTTACCACCTTCAATTTAAATTTAAAATAATAATTTTTTAATGAATATATTGTGAAATATGTTAAATTAAAAGGTATATCAATTATTATATTTAAAAAATACAATAATTATAACCTTATTAAAATACAAGTTAGAAAATCTGTTTCTCTTTTTCTAGAGAAAAATACTTCAATAATCAAGCAACCAAATCATGAAACTTTGTTCAAAATTGGGATAAAAAATTTAATCAGTAATCAAGGAAAAACCTTATTGAGTAAAATAAATACTTTTGTAAATATGTGGTTAAATGCGAGAAAGTTTGATTGCAGTTATAATACATTAAAAGGTGAGAATGACAATTAAAATAAAATGAAAAAATCTTCCTAAAACATCAATTAGAAGGGGATTATAAACTCTTTTCCTACTTCTTTTGCTACTCTTCTTCTCACATTTCTTTCTTACTTTTTCTTTCTCTCTATCCAAACATACTAAAGAAAAAAAGGTTAAGAAACAGAATGTCCAGGGATTTCATGCCACGCTTGGCCATGGTGCTGGTGCAGGTTGTGGTGCAGGCATGCTACGCTGTAATGAACATCACCTCCAAACTGGCCATGGAATCCGGCATGAAACCTCTTGTTCTCGTTGCTTACTGTCAAATCTTTTCCGTGATTCTTATCGTCCCCTTTGCTTTTTTCATGGAGTGGTAATAATCTATTCAGGAAAACAAAAACAACGTTCTTTCTTTCTTTTTTCTAGTTCTTTTAGTAGTACATCTAATTGAAGCAAATGGTTTCTTTTTTTCTTTTCTTTTTTTTTTTTCTCTCTCTCTGATTATCTTTAATATGGGCTCCGTTTGGTTTTCTGGGAAAATGCAGGAAAGAGTTGTCTTTTTTGAAGAATTTAATATAAAGTTCATTGGAATTATTGAACTTTTCTCAGAAATTTGTTATTTGAACAGGAAGACCCGACCGAGGATCACAATGTCAATACTTTTCCAGTTGTTCTTGTGTTCAATTACAACGTAAGTGTTTTGATACTGGACTTTTGGGTTTAGTTTATGAATTTCCTTCAAAATATTGCTATGAATGCTGAAAAATACGAGGAAGTTAACAATAATCTTATGCAGGGTTACTGCAAACCAGGTGTTTTACGTTCTTGGACTCGAGTATTCAACCGCAACAATTACCTGTGCATTGTACGATCTCCTCCCTGCAGTCACATTTGTCATAGAAGTTCTTCGCAGGTGCTTGGAATTTGCACATAAAATCTTTCAGTATGTGCAAGTTTTAAAAAATAGAAAGTCTTACCCTTAATTGATTCCTAGTTCTGCCTCCACTTTTCGATCTCAGGTTAAAATATATATTTTAATTTCTAATCTTATTAAATTTGAACTTTTTAGTCTATTATCTTATACTATAGAGTTTAAGTTTCTAAACTCAAAAGTTTAACATTTGAGCCTATAAACTAATAAAATTTGTTAACTCTTAGTTAAAATGAGAATAAAATATTTATAGGATCAATCTTTAAAGATTAAAGTATAACAATTCAGTTTCAAAAGTTTAAGAATTAAAAAAAAAAATTAGTATATTATAGGATCAATCTTTAAAGATTAAATTATAACAATTTAGTTTTAAAAGTTTAAAAATTTTAAAAAATTAGTATATTATAAAAAAATTAATAAATGTCCTTCTCACATAAACTAGAATAGATTAGATATCTGTAATCAAATTAAGCAATTAACTAATTTGAAAAATGAATTTTGATTGAGATTAAAAAAAATTTATTGGCTAAGTTAAGATAAAAAATCCAAGAAACTAGAAGAATACAACCAAAATTTTTTTCTCAAACTCAACCAAATTTCTTTCTTTATATTGACCTAATCGTTTAAGTTAATTGTACATATTTAACACTACTCTCATATATGTAATAAAGTTTTTCACTAATTATTTTTAATTGATTAATTTTTTTTTAATTTTTAATATTTTATAACTAAATTATTACATTTTTAATCTTTAAGGACTAATCATGTAAACATTTTATTCTCATTTTAATTTAAGGTTAGCGGATTTTGATAGTTTAGGAGCTAAAATTTCGCAGTATAAGGTGAAAGGTTAAAAACTTTAAATTGTATAAGATAAGGGACTAAATATATACTTTAATCTCAATAACATGGAAAATGTACAAATAAAAATGTTAATTTTGTACTTTTTTCCATTTAAAAGTATCAACTTTAATTTTTTTTATTTAAGAATACTAGTTTTTAATTTTTTTCTATTTAAGAATTAATCGAATGGTAATGGTAACAGGGCAAATGTATTTTTTAACTAGAATATTAAAAATTGACATTATTAAATAAAAAAAATTAAAAGTTGACAATTTTAAATAAAAAAAATCAAAAGTTAGTATTTTTATTTAGAAACTGACAAAATTAATATTTTTAAATAAAAAAAATACAAAATTAATATCCTTATTTTTACTTTT